TGTTCAGCGTGTCGGGATGGTCCGGCCCAAGCTTCGTCTTGCGAGCCTCCAGCACCTGCACCTCAAGCCTCTCCGCCTCTTCCCACCGGCCCTGGTTCGAAAATGTCGACGCCAGGTTGGCCATGCTGGTCAGCGTGGAGGGATGGTCTAGCCCTAGCAACTTCTCTCGAACCTCTACTGATTTCTGAGCAAGAACTACAGCCTTGTTGTAATCACCTTTCTTCATCATATAGTGGGATGCCTTTGTTAGCAGCAAACCCCAACCAAGAATATCTGCTTCAGCATCTGGTTGTCTCTCCAATATTCTCTCAACATGCGGTAATAATAGTTGACAGTCACGCCATGTTTCGAAATGCCCTCCTGGGAAGCGCTCTGACGCCAATTGCAGAAAAATCCTTTCCCAGCGCGTTGCGTAGTCCAGCTCAGAAAGCCAAGCCCTCGTACAGACCTGGACTAGAGAATGCATTCCGCAAATTTGCGGTTCTGCAGGCGTGTTGATCAGTGAGTAGGATAATAAAACGTCCATATCGTCCTCCAAGTTATCACAATCACTCTCTCCAACTTTGCTGTTCTCTAGTGCCTCGTTATATCCAGATAACATGTACTGGGGAATGTTTTGTGGTTGAAAACAGCTTAGGAGTGAAAGCAAATTCGCAGCAGCAGGGCTTTCCCGACGAACTTGGTCAAAAGTAACTTGCCACGTGATAGCAACAGAGTTTGACACGCTTTCATGCCGTCGGATGTCACCTCCATCATGCCTCAATAGATTTGTCTTTTGCCTATCGTTATCCTGGAAACGTTGTATATATGCGCTGATCGAGATACGGCGACGGTTGATGTATGCAGCGGCCTGGTTCACTGCGAGCGGGATGAAATCTAGGCAACGAACCAGCTCTATGGCTGCGGCTTCATCATCGCTAAAGCTAAGCTTTGCTTGCAAGAGTAGTAGCGCCTCATCGCTGCTCATCGCGGGAAGTCGTATGATTGCTTTCTGGCTGCCTATAAGCCTCTCGGCGACATTCAGGTTCCGGGATGTCACTAAGACTTTTCCATTACTTGTTTTGGGTAGATAAGACGCTATTGGAGACTCCTCCATAGCACCAAAAAACACATCAAAATTGTCGGCATTATCAAGAATAATCAGCCATGGGGCCACGTCTTCTCTTTGCAGCCAATCACAGACTAGCGCAAAAATGTTTATTTTCGGATCGTAGCGACGAGGCAGTGCGAGGCTATCGGCAAGAGATCGATAGGATGCTTCGAATGTCGCCCGAGAGCTGCCGCGCAGCCAGAAAACACTGTTCTCGGGATTGGACTGATGGACGTCATGCGCAAATGCGATGGCGAGTTGTGATTTACTTCTTTCATGTTAGCCGTGATAGTGAATCATAGTGTTGAGCATATTTAGAGCGTCCTACCCAAACCCTCCCATACCAATGAGTGCTAATCGACTCGCCTTACCCGAAAGTTGCTTGCGAATCTGTGCCTGAACAGCCGGTCGTGGGACGAAATCTGGATCCTGAGGAAAAGGTACGACAAAATGAGGCTTTTTAGCTATGGACACGTCCTCTTCCGTTGGAGCTGGGAAGTTGTCGACGCCATTTTTGATATGAAGAAGCATAGTGCTATGTTGAGTAAGCTCACCGTGTTCAGGCATGCGTTGGGTAATACACTGACGTTTGATCAATCTGTAGACCATCCATAATCCTGCGATGATAGTGTTCAAGAATAGACACCGTAGCCTCGAGTTCTCCATGGCTAAATGGCCACTTGAGGGCTCGAGCCCAGAACCGGTGCTTTGACGCACGAGCGACGCCTGGTTCGAGCTTCTTATTCAGCTCTCGAAGCGTGGTTTGACATCCCACGAGCTGCTCTTGTAAATCGTGCGACGTAGACAACGATGCGCCTTGCGGAGCTTCGATCAGTGCTTTGGCGTGGTCCAGCGTAGTTTTAAGACCCTTTACCAGCGTTGCCAGGCGCGCTATGTCGTCTCCAGCATTGGCGACTGCCTTAGAGTATTGCGAACATAAAGTGATTACCTTAACCGACACATCAACAACCGCAATAATGCTTGCTGCAATACTTAGGCCATCCATCGTGATAAGCGTGTTATGCGGTGGTTAGTTGCTTTTAGGCAACAATCGTGAGCATTTGTGCACTTAGTGCGGGGGAGGGGGCTGCGTTGGCATGGGATGCATGATGCAAGCCATTTGATTGGTCTATGCATTCTCGGTTGGCTACTGTAGCATGCGCTAAGTGCATTCTGTGTCGAGATGAGGGCCATGGCTTCGGACAAATATGACCGATAAACGATGTAGAAGGGACGAATTGTTGTATTGCGTCCAAGGTCAACGCATACTTACGCGAAAAGAATATAT